GGCCTTCAGGAGGGCTGAGACACGGGCCAGCTGCCTGGACCCCAAGAGGGCCCTTGGCTGACGTCTTTTTCCAGAGAAGGGGCCCTGGTACTGAGAGCCATTTTCCTTCTCCCTGCTCCCGCCCACCCTGGTTGGGACGTGCTGAGCCTCGCACCCCTCCTAGGAATCCCTCAAGGGGTGAGTCAGCAGCATGTGAGCAAGGCCTCCTGCCAGATGCAGAGCCAGGCAGCGGGGCAGGTAGGGAGCAGGGAGGGAAGAGGGCGGGGCAGCCACGTGCCTCCTGCCACCTGTGCCTGCCTCACTGCCCAGACTTTGTTTCATGCCTGCTGCTCCCTCCGGTTTCCTTCCACTGGCTTGGTGGGGACCTCTCACATCTGTCCTGCCCTCCTGTTAGCCAACGTCACTCCCGGGTGTTAGGACAGGGACAGTGGCTCGCAGAGCTCAAGGTTCCACAAAAGCTACCCCCTGCCGTCCTGCTAGGCCTGGGTGGGGAAACTGAGGCTTGGAGAGGAGGCAGAACTTGGGCAAAGCGCCGGGACTCAGACCCAGCTCAGCCTGCCCCCAGGCCCCTGTGCTTCCCCCATAGCAGTCCCACTGAGTGGGGTGGGGTGGGCCCGCCGGGGGTCACAGGCAGACTCTGCCTCCTTTTGCCCATTTTACAGAAAGGAAGACGGAGGCATGGGGAGGAGAAGTGACTCGTGGGGGAGAGAAGGGATACCGTGGTGTTGTCCTGGGACAGAACCATGGCTTCTTCTGTGCTCCTTCTCACTGTGGCTTGTAGGGCTAGGGCCCCCCAGTAAATGCATGGTGAGTGAACGAGTGGACGGGTGGATGGTGCACACACGCAGCGCTAGAGCACTCGTGTCAGAGTGACAGCCAGTGGCCACACGTGGCGTTTGAGCACTGGACGTAGGGCTGGTACAAACAAGCACCCGAGTTATAAATTTGGTTCCATTTTAATTCATGAAAATAAAACGGAAAAAACTGATACTTAATCCAGATATGAGAAAACTCATAAGAATGTTTGGACCAAGTTGGGTCTGTGAATCCACTTTTTCAACTGCGAATCTTATGATATCCAATTGCAGATCAGAACTTTCAGATGAAAATGTAGCACGCGAGTGGGGTTATATGCATGCTGGCAGCAGGCAATGCGCGCCGGATTCCAGAGAGGTGGTGAAAACCAGAATTCGACCATCGCAGTGTGTTTTATGCTGATAACGTGTTGAAACAGTTTCTTCAGTGAGTGGCTGGACACACTGGTCCAACCAGACAGGAAGACATTATTTAGCGCTAAAAAGAAACGACTTACCCAGCCACGAAAAGACACGAAGGAACGCATGTTACCAAGGGGAAGGAAGCAATCTGAAAATGTTACATACTGTCTGATTCCAATGCTATGACATTCTGGAAAAGGCAAAACTATGAAGACGGTAAAAAGATCAGTGGTTGCCAGGGATGAAGGGGGAGGGAGGAGGCGGGGGTGGGGGGGTGGGGGAAGAACAGGCGGAGCCCAGAGGATTTGCAGGGCAGTGAAAGCGCTTTGTGTGGTACCATCATGGTGGGCGCCTGTTGTCACACATTTGTCCAAACCCACAGGATGAACGACGGCAGGAGTGAGCCCTCCTGTAACCTACAGACTCTGGGTGCCTGCGATGTGTCAAAGCAGGTTCATGGACTGTAACAGAGGCACCGCCACGATGATGTTCATGGTGAGGGAGGCTGTACACATGGGGACAGAGGTCACATGGAAGACCTTGGTCCCTTCTGCTCATTGTAGCTGTGGACTTAAAACTGCTCTAAAAATATATGCTCCATCTAAAAATAAAAAAATCACCCCACATCCCAGGAATTTTCTCTGGTATTTTTTACTGTGTTCGTAGCTCTTAGTATGTTTCCTGGAACATAGTAGGTACTAAAAATGTTAGTGGGATAAATGAATGAATGAACCCAAACAGTGTGTTAACACTTTGGCACATAAAATTCCAGACCTTCTTCCGTGCACGTACGTCCCACATACCTATGTTTTTCATTTAAATGAGCTCTTACCAGACGCGTGATGGTACAATCAGTTTTATCCCGTAGTGTGCTGTGAGCACCTCTCCAAGGCAATAGCTATAAACATTCCTCGGTCTCACTCGAACGGCTGTGCCCTCTTCTGCCACGTGGATGGACCGTCATCGACTCAAGTCAGCTCTTATTCTGACATCTGGGCTGCTCTCTTGCGGGAGCTTCAGACTCCCACGGCCACAGGTATCCCTGTGGAGCATGTCTTTTGCCACGTGGCTGTTTGTCAGGATCGATTTTAAGCCATCTCAACAGAACAGAGAGGGAAGGGGGTGATGATATCATCTGAGTTTCTGGTGACGGAAAGATAAGGCCTTCCTGTGCCTCCAGGGGTTGTCACTGGCTGTCTGTGCTCCGCCTTTGCTGAGAAATGTCCCCGAGAATGCACCAGAAATGCTCTAACTAGCTCAGCCCTGTGGTCCGCGGGACCAGATTACCAAGCCCAACATCTGGCCTGAGGGGACCACCAGGTGAGGTGGGGACTGTCCACCCAGCTATGAAGCCAGCAGGGCCTGGGGCTGAGGCCTGGGGTTGCCCTTGTTCACTGTGTGTCCCTGGGTTTTGAGGGTCTCATCTGAAGAGCAAACACAGTAACTAACCTGGTCGGCTGTCCTGAGGATTCATGGAGCGGCCATCACAAGGCTCACCAAGCACCCCACGCAGCCCTCTCTCCGGCTGGGAGTTCACCAGCCTGCATTGCTCCTGTGCCTCAGCCCCCCGCCCCCTGACTTTAACTCACAGCACTTGAACTTGAGCGGGTGGCTGTCCTGCAACCTTCATCAGGAGCTGAGACAGTCACTCCTAGGTGTGCAGCTGACCACACAAAGAGACACTGTCGCTTCCATGGTGGGGCCTGTGCCCCCAAGGTGGGAGAAGGAGCTCCGACTGGGAGGCCAGAGGTGGAGCTGGGCCCCCAAGAGCTCCGGAAGTCACCTCCAACTCTGAGCCTCGGTGTCCCCATTTGTAGGCCGAGGTGGGAGGGCCTTGCTCACTAGGCCCTCCAAGCTCTAATGGTCTTAAACTGCTTCCCAGAAACGGTGGATACAATCACCCACCTGGTGTCAGGCAAACTGCAACCCAAATCTGACCCAGGGCCTGAAAACTCAGGAGGATTTCTACATTTTCAAGTGGTAGGAAAAAAAAAAGAAGAATTGTATCTTTCAATGACAGTGAAAATGATGTGGAATGCAAATTTTGCATCTATAAATAAAGTTTTATTGGAGCACAAAAGTGCTCATCACAAAAATGCTCATCATATTCCATTGGCAGCTTCCAGCTGCAATGGAGAAGCAGCCAGTAGTTGCCATGGAGACTCCCAGACCCTCCACACCTGAGGGTCTCTGTCCCTTTAAGGAAAAGCTTGTAGTGCCCTGGTCTAGAGAGTTATCTTTTCAGAGTACTCACTATCTTTGGAATATTTTGCATTTTTCTTTCTTTCTCCAAAGGTCACTGCCTCTGAAGATCAGGACTGTTTAGAAAATAAAACAGAATGCATGGAGAATTCTTTTAGCTCTGCCAAGCTACAGGGGCTGGGGCCGGATGGCAGTCAGCCCACTGCCCGGGGTGCTGCAGGGCCCTCCCAGGGGCAGGTCTGTGGGTGTGGAGGGGGCCCAGGGCCAGCTCCCTCCCCCGACATGCTTTCCCTGCAGAGAGGCATTTAAAAATCACATCTTGCACACGGGCCCATGAGGCATTCGAGAACAAAACCCTGCCCGGTGTTGTGTGGCTGAGCACGCAGGCCTGGCGATCGGACAGATCGGGATTCCCAAAGCCACTGGGGTCTTTCTCTGCTGTGTGACCTTGGGCGAGTTGCTTCGCCTCTCTGAGAGTCAGTTTGTGTACTGGGACATAGCACTTACCTGTATCAGTCTGTTCGGGCTGCCCTCACAAAGGACCACAGACTGGGAGACTCAAACGATAAACATTTATTTTCTCGTGATCCTGGAGGCTGGAAGTCCAAGGTCCAGGTGTCGGCAGGGCTGGTTTCATCTGCTGCCTGTCTCTGGCCTGTAGACAACCGTCTGCTTCCTGGGTCTCCGCCGTCTTCCTCCGTCCCCGTCTGCCTCCTAATCTCTTCTTACAAGAACACGGGTCAGGTTGGATCAGGGACCACCCAAACGACTTCCTTTTAATTTAACCACCTCTTTAAAGACCCTGTCTCTAAGCACAGCCACATTCTGAGGTCTTGGAGGTTAGGACGTCAGCACACGACCATGGGGGGAGATGCAGTCCAGCCCACAGTCCTGTCTGACGGGGTTCTGGGGGCGCCGGGTGACGTCAGGAATGTGCAGCATAGTCTCTGCAGTATGAGTGAGCCCTCGGTAAATGTTCCTTCTAATTTTTGTAAACAGGGACTTCCTTGGGGTCGGAGGGTCTTGATGGGAGCATTAATTAGGACAACTGGTCTGGCAGAGGAAAACACACCTTTCCTCAAGCCCCCTCGCAGCGTGGCACTGCTGCTTCCTCGCCTGACCGAACGTGGTGAAAACACACAGGGCAGAGAGCAGAGCCTGGCACACAGTAGGCACTCAACACATTGGCATCGGACAAATGCAGGGAAGGACTGCCTCTTCTTAGCATCACACTAGAACATCAACTGCACCAGGGCAGGGGCATTTGCTGTCTCTATTACGCTATATTAGTTTCTGGCATGTAGTAGGTGCTCAGAAAACATTTGTTGAATGAAGTAAATGAATCAATCAGAGCGGCCATTCTTTCTTTCTGTCCCTTAGATGAGTCTTCAGTACATACCGTAGAGACTCCGAGATGAGGCATAGCATGTATTTATTGAACACCTACTGTGTGCCGGCTGCTTCCTCATTCATTGTAGCCTTTCCTCTTTTCTACCCTAGTTTGCACCACAACACCCAGTGGCTTTTGTGCCAGAAATGAAATCAAGTGTCAGTCAGACCCAGCCCATTCACACTCTGGGCGTCAGTTCCTTCTCTGCCAGGAGTAGCAGATGAAAAGGCCTAGCAGCGTTTCCTGGCACATAGTAGGTGCTCAATAAATAGCACTTTACCTCCCTCTCTTCCTCCTCTCCCGAGATGGTTGGAATAATTCTCTCTGTTTAAGCTGTCAGACCCACTGCTTGCCTCTGGGACTTCAGCGGCAAAAGGGTGAGAAAGGAGACAAAGAGAAGAGTGGGAGGAAGAGGAAGTGGGAAGGAGACGCCACCCAGGCGGCCTGGCAGAGGCCGCCCGCGCACGTGAGTGTTTGGGGAATGTGAAGCTGCCTTCACCCTGCCTGACTCTGGGAGGTGTCAGGACTCTGCAGCCAGGGATCACAGGTGGCTTTGGGGAAGCCAGGCCCCGGGACAGATGTGCGAGCTGCCCGGCGCTCCAGGCCTGGAGGAAGCACCGGGCGCCCAGGGCCCAGGGCTGAATGGGCCCTTTCTCTCTCTCCAACAAGCACATCCCTTGTTCATGGGTTTGTTTGTATGTTCGCTTCCCCAGGCTGTTTCTGTTCTGCTTTTCCTCCCACAGGGCTCAGCCTGGGGCAGGCGCCTCCAAGAGCACTGGGCCTGCAGCATTTCCAGAGCATTGCTCCTCTCTCCCGAGGCGGGTCCAAAGGGAAGGGTGGCCTTCCCTCTTTGCAGCCGACTTGGGAAGGCAAAGCCTGTTCACCTGTGGAGGACTGAGCCTCAGGACCGGCTTATCCAGGCCGTGGCGCCACGCTGGGGCTTGGCGCGAATCCTCATACCATCTCCACCGCGGGACACAGTGAGCCGCATTTGACAGAGGGTGTCATCGCCCTGCCAAAACGCCTTGAGGCTCAGCTTCGGCTGCCAGGGGAGGATACTGAGGCACAGAGCACGCTCAGTGCCTTTGCGCTCGGTGGCTGAATTTGAACCCCAGCCTCAGGGAGGGCCCAGACTCAGCATCTGCACGGCCCACACCACTCCCAGCTCCCTGTCCTCTTATTCGCTGTCACTCTGGGGGCTCAGACACCCTCCCAGTCCTCCAGGACCTGCTTCCCTCCTCTGTCATAATGGAGGCCACCCGTTCTCTGCCTGCCTCCGAGTGTGTGGTCAGGGTGAGGCCCGCAGGCCCCAGCTGCTCCTGCGCCCCCACCCACAGAAGGACGTCTCAGGGAGATGCTATTGTGATTGCTGTTCTGCGAATGGGACCCCTGAGGAACACAGAGCAGTAGGTCACCCACCCAAGGCTGCTGGTCCTGAGAACCGGCATGGGCTGCAGCTCCTTTTGGCAAATCCGCCACTGTAGAGTCCAGCTGGACGAAGGCAGTGCGAGGGGGTGGACATGGAGGCCACTTCCAAGTGACCAGACTCACGGAGGACGAGGAGGACAAAGGGAGGCTGGGTGGGAGAGGGTTTCAGAGGGAGCCGAGGTACCCCCAGGCTCAGGGACTTGTGCAGGGTTTATTCGAGCCCAGTGGCAGCGCCTGCCCCCTCCTTTCTGGGTTTCCCTCCCAAGACTCTTGCACCAAATGTCCCTGGGTGGCTTCAGTGCCGTGGACCTTCCAGCAGGTGGGCAGGGGAGGAGCTGCCGCAGCCCAGGCTGCAGCACACACAAGGCACTGTCCCCTCCACATCTCTGGAGTCCCCTTTCCAGGCCTTCACCCAGGGCCAGCCTCCCTGACTCCTACCAGCTTCCTCCCCGTGGTGCCTCCCAGCCACCAGTGCTCCCCCTCCCAGGCTGTGGGGCTAGTGGCCCCCACTCCCTGCAGTGGGCCAGACAAATGGCCTCCAGACAAAGGCAGCCCCACCAAGGCCGGGTGGTTGGGGTGGGAGCTGGATCCTGCCCTTGACCACTCCGAGGGCTCACCCAGACTCAGAGAGATGGTGAGGGAAGCAAATCTTCTTCAACCAGGCTGGGTCTCCCCAAGGGGGTTCTGCAGAGAACTGGAGTGGGGCGGGGCCGGGAGGGTGGGGAACCTGTGTGTGGAGGGGGCTGGCCCGTGCCGGCATGAAGTACACGGAGGGCGGTCCTCGGCCCGCCCCTCGGGGTCGTGGGGTTCTTGGGCACGTCCTGAGCCTCGTGGGGCCTCAGGAGCCTCTGTGACAGCAGCCCGATGGGAACCGATCCCCAGACTCCCTTCACTCCCCTTCCCCCGGACCATCACCTCAGGGCCGGGGACCATGCCTTGGCCACCTCCTCATCCGGGCGCCGGGGCCACACGGGCCCTCTCCCCGAGCACTGGCACGCACTGCCATTGTTGAAGGCACGCTGTGCGCCAGGCACGCTGTGCGCGCTTCCTCACTCCGCACCCACCGCACGGGTGTGGTCTCCAGTCTACCGACCAGAGGGCCAAGGCCCCCGGGGGCCAGTCGGTGGCCCCAGGCACTGAGTCAGTGAGCAGTGGACCCACAACTCCCACCCTCAGACTGACTCCAGAATCTCCCAGCTTGACCCCCGGGCTGCCTCAGGGCCAGGTGTGCTCCCTAACTAACGGCTCGTAGGGCTGACCGCACATCCAGCCTAGGCTGTTGAGAGAATTAAATATGTAAAGAAGCTACCAGAAGGCGTGATATTCCGGAGGAGCTCGGTAAATGGATTTGCCTGAGATAAAGCCCCACCTCGCCCCGCACTCCAGGATGCTCAGTAAACGCACCAAGTTCAAGTGTCCTGAGTTAGCCCTGGAGGGACCTCGGATTCCGTCCAATCACATCTTCCCTGCTGAGAAAATGGTGTTTTGTCTGAGCCTAAGTTTGCACCACGAGCCCCATCAGGAGGCGAAGGTTGGATCCTGGCACCAGTCACTGGGCTCAAACAAGCTGTTTTCCAGTTCACCATTGGCTCATTGGAATTCCACCTGGTGCATCCCGCTGCAGGGCGGAGGGGGGAGTCGCAATGGGTCTTGGGACGCTGTGAGGGGCAGCGGAGTGGTCAGCGAAGCAGCCACCTTTTCCGGAAGTGGCAGTTGCCTGGAGTAAACGGGTGTGGAAGGACCCCCAGCTTGTCTGAGTGGCTTGGTAAGTAACTGACAGCTGTCTGTGTTTATCGAGTCCGTATTGTTGGCACGTTTCCAAGCCCCTTTCCTGAAGCAGTTCACAGATGAGCTAATCGCTATTACTAGTTTCACTTCTAGCTGTGGCACAGAGAGGCCAGAGAGATCATGTGCTGAAGGTCACACAGCAGGTAGGTGGTACAGCCGGGGTTTGAACTTGGGGCTTTTAGGTTTCGGAGTATTTTAGAGTAAGGTGTTCCTATCCTGCCACTGCTGAGCCAGCCTCCAGTCAAGGCTAAGGGCATAGTCTTGGGTGGTACTAATAGGAGAATGTTTCTGTTCATTATTGTTTCCTTTCTGATTATCACAGTGACTCTGCATTGGCCCAGGGAGGAGTAAGATACCCTCTGCCACCCTGGGAGGACTTGCAATGGTCCACAGGGGCAGGGAAAGTGGGGCCACAGCTCCACTCTCCATTTCTCAGCCACTGAAACGCAGCCAGGGGAGTGCAGCCCTTGGCCGAGGTCCCTCAGCTGCGGCGGAGTTCCGCCTCAGGTCGGGCTGACCCCTTTCCACGCCCTGAGTGAGGACAGAGACACCCGAGCCGGGCCAGCACCCTGCGGCCCCGGGCGGCAGGAAGCTCTCCCCGCCCCCTGGGCTTCCCGAGACAGCACTAGCGCCTCGAAAATGGGTGTAAGGACCGGCCAGAACCCGCTACGGGGAAGATGGCCCACTGAAGAAGGTTCACATTTCTCCGAGGAATGCCTGCCTTTCAGGCATGAAACTGGATCTTGGTAAGACAGGGAGACCGAGAACAAAGCTCTGAGTTGGCAGAGAACAGAGGAAGGCAATATCCTCTCCTTGGGTTTGCTCCCCTCCTGTCTAGAGTTGAAAGTGCTTCAAGGAAAACACCCACAGCTCTCATGCTTCCCCACAGAGCGGGCAACTGACAGCAGCTTGGCTGGAACGCTGTTGTCCCACAGGGTGCCTCCCCCGGGCCTCGCTCATCAATTCCTGTCGATGGAGCCCCGAAGATCCGAGGGGAGCCGGTGTTTATTCGGGGCTCGTCCTCCTCACTCTTATGAAATTAGACCTTAGTTAAGAAATGGGGGTGGGGTGGGAAGAAGAAAATGTGTTCTTTATTTTTTGCCTCCTTGTCTTTGTCTGAATGTTGGCATGAAAACTAACAAGAGGGAAAAAAAGAAAAGATTCAGGTTGCCGGGAAATGAATACATGCCAGAGGGAAAAACAGCGTGCGCCCCATTGGGTAATGTCCATCAGAGAGGAAGAAGTTAGCACAAAACCGGTATCTGCCCCCTGTCGGATCCCAATAATCTGGCCAAGGAATCCAGCCCCTTTCAAGATTAGGATGCTAGAATTGTCCAGGAGTTAGTTTCTGTGTGTGTATGTGTGTGTATTTCCACCATCCTGAAAATGGTCTCAGAGACTGCAGCATAGAATTTATAATCACACACACCGGGATCCCGGCCCGGGCTCTGACCCTCGGTGACAAGGACACTGTTGCACATTTTGTCCCTCCTCTGTCTCTCGGACTCCTCCTCTGGTGAAGGGGAAGGGATGGTCGTGTTCCCTGTGGGGTGATCGTGAGGGTGAAGTGAGGTAACACATGAAACGCCCGGCTGGCCCACGATATGTGCTCAGAAAAGGGAGCTCCTTTCTTCTATTGTCAACACCTTTCCCAGCTGGGTTTTTCAAAGGGTCAGCGATGTGTTCCTATTGTAGTTAGCCAGGTGCTGTGACAAACAGTTACTCCTGCGGCAGGGATGCCCCGTGGCCACCCAGTATCCACTCTCCATTTCCTCCTTAGTGACACGGCCCTTTATTATTGGGGCTGCCCAATAGATTAAAATATAATGTGATGGGATATAATACAATATGATTATTGTAGCCAGCTTTTAAAAAAACCAACATCTCCCAGCCCCCTTTGCAATTAAGTGTGGTTGGCGGGACTTCTCGTATAGCTCCCCAAAGCAGGCGTGCACAGCTCTCTCCACGTCCCTGCCTGGACACAACTGCTAGAACCCCAGCTGCCGTCTTTGACCTCAGGTGACCTTGAGGCTCGAGGCCGTTAGTCAAGGATGGTGAAGCAGAAAAGGAGACAGAGCCAGCTGATGACTCCGGAGCCTCCTTAGTGCCGGGCCTTTAGTGAGAGGCAACAAAATCCCCTGTTTACCTGAGCCGCTGCTTTTCTGAGTTTTCCATTATGTAGACCTGACTCTAAGGATCGCTGATAACCTCTCCATCTGTTCTACTCCCACTTCTTGCTGTGCTTGGTACTCACAGTCGCATCTTTCTACCTATCTCTTTACACTCGTAGCAAAGGTAGATTTACGTGGGCATGTGTACAAAGTGGTGGTGTGCGTATGTCACGCTTCGTGATTGCTTAAAAACATATCTAGATCGAATTTTCCCGTACACAGATCTCTAACCTAATCTTTTTAATATTAAGCTATCAAGCTGTAGTAAGGTTATGTCATAACTTATTTAACAGTCTTGCCATACTGAGGTTTCTAGACACCGTTTTCCAACTTAGATCAACCTTGCTTCAATGGACATCTGATGCAAGACCTTGTATCACCGCGGGTCAGTTTTTTGTGAAGACAGCCAGCGTGGGGTGGCTGGTCCCAGTCCTTCTGAAGCCTCTCCACACCCCTTCCTTTCATAGATGAGGCCAGAGAGGGCCTGAAAAGTGATGCGCCAGAGGTAACAGAGACAGACAACGGGAGCAACGCCTCAGAAACATCACAGTCGCCATCCGAGGCCCGCTCTCCTCTTTATCCAGGGCTGGGAGGCAGTGCTGACTCGTTGAAAGAACACTCACATCATCCGTACGGAACGAGTGCCCCACCAGGCTCTGCTGGACTACATCTCTTGTCGGGGAGGCCCCTGCCTTTCCTGTCATCTTTGGAGAGTTTTGAAAGTTCTTTCTGACATCGTGTTCTCAAAGCTTCTACTAGCTGGTCTCTGTTCTGACTCCCGGGGTCCTGGGGACCTGGTCTGCTTCCTCAAAAGACAGGTAGGATTCACCAAGGTGGGCGCAAGAAAGGAATTCAAAGTTACCTACTTGGGGCTCTCGACACTCAGATACTTCTCATGTGCAGAGAATATGCTATTGGCCCGGCAGCGAGCGCGGTTCCCAGGATACAAGGAGGAACAGACATGGTCCCTGCCGCAGAGATGGTCCCTGTCCAGGGTTGGGGGCATCTCACTGCAGTGTGTGGCTCACCCTCTGACAAAGGCAGCTTTGGAGCCACATGCAGATGCACGGCGATGGGGCCACAGCAGCAGAGTTGGGGATGTTTGGAGTTGGGAGAGAACAGCACAGGGCTGGGGTTGAGGATTCGTTTGGGAGAAGTAACTGGCCAAGTAAGGGAGCAGCCTGCCCTCCACCAAGAGAAGAAATCCATTTCTCTGTAAATGTTGATTTGTTTTTCCTGGAAAGGTTTCTTATTTTCCAGGAGTCACATTCCTACGAGAGATCCCCCCGACACAAACACATACACACAGACACGCACACACACTATTTAGAAAAACAGGCCGGAGGAACAATCTGTAGAAGCCTTTCCCCTCCCGACATTCCAGGGAAGGCGGCGTGCCTCAGTCACCACCAAAAAGATGACAGCAAGTGATTATCACTCATAAAATATTGGGCAATTCAGTGGGAAAATAAAAGTTAAAAGTAATTGTTTTAATCTGTAGAAATCAAAGTTTGGATGACGAAAGAGGCAGGCTGCCCTTCAGAGGAGGGAGAACATGGGGTCGGAACCCAGCGGGCCTGCTGTTGTTACCAGTCTGTCACTCCTGCCTGGGGACTGGCCACATCCCTTCCCGTTCCATTTCCTTGTGGTAGAAAAAGAAGAGAATGGAGCCTACATAAAAGAAGTCGGTGAAAA